GATCCTCCTGCTTTCAGCCTTGTGCCACCATGCCCGGTCTCAGTGTACGGCTCAGCATGCCTAGGGGCAGGGTGGGCAGGGCATGTGCTGCCAGGGATCAAACCCCGGATCCTGCACTTGCCTAAGAAGGAACTTAGTCTGCTGAGCTATCTTGCTGGCTGCCCGTAAGGATTTAAGTGATGATTTTGTAACTGGCATTGAAATCAGAAGACTGTGATAAAAAGCCAAGTACCAGTTCAACGGGAATCCTTAATGTGGGCCAGAGAAACCCTAATTTTGAATACGCTTTATTTATTTATTTATTTATTTATTTATTTTTTGCAGAACTGGGGATTGAACTCAGGCCCTTGCGCTTGACAGGCAAGCGCTTATTCTACTGAGCCACCTCCCCAGCCCCTTGAATACGCTTTAATAAAATAGTCAGTGAAGGGTGATCACACTGCATACTTACGTTCTCAAAATTTCTGGAGTTGCATTTACCATAGATGAGCATGTGGGAAGCTGGGGTAATGCCAGTGAGCTACAGCTCTCCAGGTTTGCTTTTCTAAGCTTCTGACATGTAGCTACATGTTACAGAAAAATGGGCATGATTATGAGCCTTGCCCTTTCTTGTGAGCAGCTAAAATGCAGGGGATAAGACACTATATTTTTGGGTCTATTTTGTGGAAAAGAAACAGAAGCAAAAATCGAATTTATTTATCTTTTTATTTGTTGATGCAGGGTCTTGCTACACAGTTCAAACTCACAGTGATTCTCCTGCATTAGCCTCCACAGAGCTGGGATGACAGGCTTATGCCACTATGCCCTATTTCTGGACAGCACAGTGTGCTTCTGCAGGTCTGCACAGCATCTGGTACCTGAGATGAACTCTGGACCTTGTACTTGCCAGGCAGGCACTTAGACCACTGAGCTATCTCCCCATCACCAAAAGCTCAAGTTTAAGTAGGCTAATACTGGGATTAATGGATCTGTTTGTAAGTGACTGGCAGAAGTGTAAATTATTATAATTATTCTTTAAGTTACACTGAGATACCACTGATCTGTATATACTTTTATAAAACTACTTAAATCTGAAATAGATTGGTACAATGAAGGAGATATGTACTGGGGGATATATAATCAGTTTATGTATTCATGAATGAATATGTCACAATGAAACCCACTAAACTTGCATAATTTTATGTACTAATAAAAAGTGCTTCTGGTGAGGGTATATATTTTAGATATTTAAAGCCCTCATATATATCTACACATATTTGTGGGAAAAGATGTCTGTTACATATGTTGTAGGATAATTAATCGATAACCTACTTGATTTATATCAACTCTTTTGACAATGAACTGCAAAATGTGGGGAATTTTGAATTAGAAAAAATAATCACTACTTTCTAATTTCTCTGTGAATAAAATTATACATGTTACCTTGCTTCTGATCAATTTTCAATTAGCTTCTATAGCTCAGTTTCCTTATTCAATCAATAGAGATAGGACTATAGAAAACTGAGCAGGTCATGGAAGATACAAAATAATTTTTATATCATTAATATATGAAATGATCTTGATTTAGTTGGAACATATCTTATAAGAGGATGCAGAAAATTATAAAGAAAAGAGATTCAAATATGGTTCTATTAATTAATTACATTAAAATATTCTTTTTGTATTTCATTACAGGATCTACAGGGTGTCACTACTTAGATCAGACTTGTAGTGATGCACCTGTGGTCAGCCTCCCAAGAGCTAGGATTCTAGGAGTGTGGCACCATACCCAGTCTCCCTCTTAGTGCACCCCAGGGGTGGGGCCGGCACTGCACGCTGGAGATCGAACTCCTGCTGCTGTGTCTGCCTAAGCAGGCACTTTTAATTACATTTTTCATGATGCTATATTTATTTAACATTAAAAACAGTGTCAATGTAATGTTGAGCTACTAATGTTGTCTCCAATGATTTCATAATGTTTAATTTTTAATCAAGAATTTCATTCCTATAATTAGGATAGATATACAGCTACTTTCTCTTAATTCAATGAGAAGAAAGATTTGTACTAATAGTGTTTGGGCAGGATATCATGTCTGCATCTTGTACTATGAATAGCCATTACAAAGACAATAACATGCAATGTATTAATTATTGAAACTGTCTTATTTATTGGTTTTGAAACTGTCCCATTGCTTTCTGTTTCTCAATAAAATTAATCTAAAGAAAGAATTTCATCCCCTATTCTCTACAGTTTTATAATGAAACATAACTCTTTAGATGACTGTAAAAGTAAATGGAATGGAGAATGGTCATTAGAGAGTTACATTGTTCCTTTTGCCTGCAGGACAGCATGACTCCAAGAAAAAAGAAAGCAATGATCTTCTTGCCCCAAGAGGGGAAGAGGCTATGAGAAGTATCATTTTCATTCTTCAACTGCAGAAAAATCCACAATATCTGCCAGAATAAATGGCTAAAATCAATGTCACTTATGTCACGGAATTCATACTCAAGGGGATTACAGACCGTCCTGAGCTTCAGGGTCCATGTTTCGTGGTGTTTTTGCTTATCTATGTGGTCACAGTGCTGGGCAACATTGGATTGATCATCTTGATCAGGACTGATGTTCGACTCCACACCCCAATGTACTTCTTCCTCAGTCACCTGGCCTTCGTGGACCTCTGCTACTCCTCGGCCATTACGCCCAAGATGATGGTGAATTTTCTCGTGGAGCGCAACACCATTCTGTTTCACGCATGTGCAGCTCAGCTGGGCTGCTTCCTGACCTTCATGATCACTGAGTGCTTCCTGCTGGCCTCCATGGCCTACGACCGCTACGTTGCCATCTGCAGCCCCCTGCGCTATTCAATACTGATGTCAAAGAGAGTCTGCTTCCAACTGGTGGCGGTGCCCTACGTCTACAGCTTCCTGGTGGCACTCTTCCATACCATTATCACCTTCCGCCTGGTTTACTGTGGCCCCAACATCATCAATCATTTCTACTGCGATGACCTTCCCCTCTTGGCTCTTTCCTGTTCGGACACACACATGAAGGAAATCCTCATTTTTGCGTTTGCTGGCTTTGATATGATCTGCTCCTCGTCTATCGTCCTCACCTCCTACCTGTTCATTATTGCTGCCATTCTGAGGATCCGTTCTGCCCAGGGGAGGCGCAAAGCGATTTCTACTTGTGGTTCCCACATGGTGGCTGTGACTATTTTTTATGCCACACTAATCTTTATGTACCTACAACCCAAGTCAAACCACTCCTTGGACACAGACAAAATGGCTTCGGTGTTTTACACTGTGGTGATTCCCATGTTAAACCCGTTGATCTACAGTCTCAGGAACAAGGAGGTAAAAGAGGCCACAAAGAAAGCCTTACACATATTAAAAGTAAGAAAATGGTGAGGCCATGCTTTCTGAAATAAAAGAAGCAAAATAAATTGAAATTTTTATTATAGGTCTTCCACAGTCAATCAAAAACATAACTTTATTATCTATTATACTTTTTAAAATAGATTTTAATATCTTAATACACTTTAACATTTTCTGTGAGAACCCAAGCATATGCTGTGCAGGTTGTGTTCAAATATGGGTACAAAGAAGTGAACACCCTTATGTCTGTCTGTTCTAAGCAAAGGCAGAAGTGTGTTTCACTTGAGGTCTGGACTCTGGAACAAGACTGTTGGAATTTGTTATTTCCTTGATTGATTTTCCCTGGAGCCTTACACACCTACATCTTCTTGCTTTGCAAATCTTTTGCTTCCAATCTTGGGAAATTATACCACCAATTGGAATATCTGGAGGATTACATGGATTAGTATTTATGAAATGCTTAGAACTTTATCAGGTATTTATAAGTGCTTTGGAGGTGTTGGTTATAAAATATGTCTATGGAAAGTTAAATATTCTATCCTTGGGCTCCCAGAGACTTGCTACCCATGAGCATCAAAGCCTACTGGGCTTCATAGTATCTGCAGGGTGCTTGGTCCAAGCGTGCTACTTATCATAGTGAAATGGACCTAAAGGAGGGCAAGGTTCCACTTATGGGTCCCTATTATTTATAAATTGCCTAAACACACACAATTAGTAATAGGAAAACTTCAAATTGAAATTCAAGTGTGAGGTTTTTTTTTTTTAATTATGGGTATTAAGAATGAAAGGTGTTAGATTAGATTAATGCCTGATCTTCACATATAATTGGAAGAACATGGCTTATAAGAAATTGTATTAAAATGTATAGGCTGCATATATTTGATTATTTGTTCAATTAGGTGTAACCTTGGGGTAGTACATCATTTATCTGTCCCTGCTATTGATTCAGACTCCCTTGTACACTACCACTTAAAATTTTATTTTATTTATTTATTTTGTATTTTAGGGAAGGGTGTACAGGATGCTCAGGGTCTCACTACTAGATCAAACTCATGGGTATCTGCCTGTTTACAGCCTCCCAAGAGCTTGGATTATAGACATGCACCACCACACCCACACACTGGGGATCAAATCCCCAGTTCCTGCACCTGCTTGCAGGTGCTTTAATCTGCTTAACTATTTGGCCAGCCCTTACAACTTAAAATTAAAAATTAGTGATTTAATACATTTTTTATTATAGAATTTCAGAAGAAAAATTAAAGTAGCATCTTACCCTTATCCTGCTATTTTTCCATTTTATAAGATTAAGATAACTATCACCATTAGAAAGAGACTGGTGTGGGGTTTCAAGGCAGGGGAATTATTCCCTAGTGTACTTCATGAGTGAGTGACTTGTGTATGCTGCCATGATGTGCTTGGAGAACTTGAGGGCTGAATGAAATCTCTGGGTTTTAAAGCAGGATTAAGAGGGCCTAGTGTCTCTGTTTTCCACAGAGTGTGTGTTTGCATGTACAGATTCACACAGCAGCCCATATCACAATGGTGACAAACAGCAATGTCCAAGGCAGGCCAGCGTTTTGTAGGTAATGAAATCTTCCCGTGTACCATCTTAATGACTCAATTGAAATAGATTGTTTTTACTTTCCTTTAATTTTTATTCTTATTTATAAAGAGAATACAAAAAATTGTAAAAATGCATATTAGAAACAATATATAATTTCCCCAAACAAAATGATACGAATTCAACAGTGGGTGTTATATTGAGAATCGTTGTCTTCCAATTAATTGTTCAGATTATCCAACATAAGCCTGAAAGATTGGTTGAAAATTATAAAAAGTTAAAAAGGAGAGAGAAAATAAGGTTTAAGCATTACATTCTCTTTTCAATAGACTAGCAGAAATTAGCAGTGCAACTGTCCAAGTTATCCTATGCGTATACATAAATATTTTTCTTTTATGTCTCTGTCTCTCTGTCTCTGTCTCTGTCTGTCCGTCTGTCTGTCTCTCTCTCCTTCCTTTTCCTCAGCCCACTTGCTCCTTCTCTTAGAACAGTACAGTATATATGTAAAAAGGAAAGAAATACTGTTAGTTTCTAATTCTTTCCCCTTCTTAGCAGTACCTGTTTGTGATACATAATAAATACATCAATTGTGGGAAATTGGTCCCTGCACTGTAGCCTCTAGATCCTTTTTTCCTCCTCTACCGTCTTCCAGCTATTCCCATCCCCAGGTGTTTTGAGTGATGCAGCGCTAGTTTGCGCTTCATAGAATTATGCGGAGGACCACCTGGACAGTGGCCATTGAAAGGAGAGCGAGTGTCTCTGTCTCAGCTGATCATGACCCTATTTCCATGCACAGATCTGAGCAAAGCTGGCTAGGAGCTTTCCTTATCCCTTCAATTGGCTTTCACAATATGGATCAGTCTGCGCAGAGTGCTGATGTGCAGCCTTTGAAGCCAAGAGGAGAGGGCAGTGTTTCCCTTACCTCTTTGCTCCCAATGAAAACAGGTGTAAGGTGTGGTGAGGAAGGACGGAGCCATGCCCCGCACTGTCTGCCCACTGGGACGGGGTCTTGAGATGAGCTGAAGCACTGACCCCCCCACAATTAGGGACTATCTCAATGATGTCACGCAGAGTACGCTTTCTGTGTATTGTTCTCTCTGCTCATTGCAGAGGTGGGTGCAGGCCTCCTACCTGTCCCAGCTCACAGCACCCACCTACTTCCTGCCAGTCTCACAGTAACTCATCCTCAAGATGCTCTCTTCTTCACAAACTGATAAAACCGGGGCTCAGCCCTGGGTTGAGACCTTTGTTCCAGTTCACATCATGACAACTGCCCTCAGGACTCCCTTGATTCCCCACCAGTTTGAACATCTTATCGTGTCTTTATGTGTGCTCTGGGTTGCACTGGGAGAGGTAGATTGGAATTAATGTGATAGGATTCCAGTAACTTTTCCCTGGGATTACAAATACAGACTCCCCAGCCTCGGATGAGAACTGGGAAGAGCTCTGTACAGCCCTGTTTGCATATGGAGTAAGCAATAGAAGAGAATCACGTAAGGATTAAGCTTGAAGATGCTTCAAAGTTGAACTTAAATAGCTGATTCGTTCAGCTTGTGTGTTAGTGAGTGACATGAACAGCTTTGAATAGTTCTGTTCTTCCAGTTCCCATCTCAACTGAGTGCTTTGAAAATTAGGTAAGGCGACCTGAATAAGACACCTTTGCTAGGACTTAACCCAAGAAATGCACTCAGTACACGACATTGATGTTTACCTTCGTAAGTATGGGCCTAAACAAAATCACAACTAAATAGTCTTCGGGAGATAACACAGAAGTGGCTTCATTTTCATGAAGACGATGCATATTTGAAGACATCATATAGAAAAAATCTAAGAAAAATGTTTCAAAATGCATTTACAACACACAAATAAATTTCAAAGCTTTAAATGACAAAATATAGCAATAAACTGACACTTTAGCTTTTTACATTTCCATATTTTATTTATTAATTATTATTATTATTATTATTATTATTATTATTATTATTATTATTTATTTTTGTATTTTAGGGGAGGATCTACAGAGTGTTCAGGTTCTCACTACTAGATTAGACTCATAGTGATTCTCCTGTTTACAGCCTCCCAAGAGCTGGGATTACAGGCGCGGGGCGCCACCATGCCCAATCTCAATTGCTGTCTCAGCGTGCCCCGGGGGCGGGGCCGGCACTGACAGGCCCATTCATCATTTTTTTATTGATGGGGAGGATCTCACACTGCCGACTATGTCACGGAAAGCTTTTACCCAATTGCCTACCACTGAAAGAGGAATCTTGACGCAATAACAAGTCAATGAAGGACGATCTCCTCCACCTGTGAAACGCCCTCTGCGTGCTGAGAACCAGCGATGTCCTTTGCATTCTGAGTCTTACCCAGCACTCAAAGTTGGGGAGGAGGAAGGAATTACTGCTGCCTTCTACACACGCAGATACTGAGGAGCAGAAACGCTTTACCTATGATAGCAGCTGTTCAATACAGAATTATTAGCTGAACTTCCCAAGAGAGTCAAATTCCTGAGCTCGCGCTGAGGTAGGGCAGGCAGTGAGGATAGGTGCTCAGCAGTGCAGGGTGAGGCAGGTCTAGAACCGGTCACTCTCGACCAGCAGGGCTGCTTTGCTAGCTCTCTCCTTCACAAGATGGTGGCACAAAAAGTAGGAACATGAAGGAATGCCCGGGGTTGTTTTACAAAACACACACTTAAATTAAACACTGGTATTCGGGTTGAGGGTAGAGCTCAGCAGCATAAGCATCTGCCTGACAAGCACAAGGTCCTGACTTTGATCCACCTTACTGCACAAAGCAAACAAAGAAGCAAACAAATCAAATGGTTTCTAAATTATTCATACATAAAATCTGGAACATGAAACACAAGATATGCACTTATTTCAAAATAAAGCTAATTTCACAATATCACAGAGTTCAGACACAGACGCTATTTGCTGTGCCCTTTCTTAAATTACTGAATAGGATTTGGATCAATCTGTCTTTTCACCCCCACATTCTTTGTTCTTTTAAAATGCCAACTGAGTATTCACAGAACCTCTCAAGGGAAAATGCTGAGAAGGAGGCAGCCTATGAGGCACAGCCCGAGTGAGTGTGAAGGTCCGAGGGATGTGGGGGTCTCTGTCCTTTCCCAGCCCTGCCGGCCTAGAGGAGACAAAACCCACAGTCTGCTCACCTTTGCTTAGGGATGCTTTCACTATCTGAGTGCCAAACACAACTTCTCTGTAACTTTCTTCAGGGCGTTTTTAACCTCTTGATTCCTTAAGCTATAGATTAATGGGTTTAACATGGGAATCATTACCACATAAAACACTGAGGCAAATTTATCTGTATGCAGAGAATGGCTTGACTTAGGCTGCAGGTACATGAAGATCACAGTCCCGTAAAATATCGTGATGGACGTCAGGTGGGAAGCACAGGTAGAAAATGCCTTCTTTCTCCCTTCAGCAGACTGAATCCTCAGGATGGCAGAGAGGATGAAGGCGTAAGAGATGACCACAATCACTAGAGAGCAAAGGGTGTTGAACCCTGCGATGATTAACAACAATAGCTCTTTGACATGAGTGTCAGAACAAGCCAGAGCAACGAGGGGAACATCGTCACAGTAGAAGTGGTTGACCAACTTGGAGCCGCAGAAGGACAACTGGAATGTTGACACGGCTTGCACTAGGCCCACCGAGAACCCATAGACGTATGTGCTGGCGATCATCTGAACACACAGCTTCCTAGGCATGAGGATGACGTACAGGAGCGGGTTGCAGATGGCGACGTAGCGGTCGTATGCCATGATGGAGAGCAGGTATAGCTCAGAAACTACGAATGTGACGAAGCAGCACAATTGAACGGCACAGGCATAGAATGTTATACTTTTAACTTCCTGCCAAAAATTTATAAGCATATTTGGGGTGACAGAGGATGTAAAACAAAAGTCAACACAGGCCAGATGACTGAGGAAGAAGTACATGGGGGTGTGCAGCGGCGGGCTGACCTGGATTAATATAATCAGTCCAAGGTTACCCAGGACGCTGACGAAGTAGACTACGAGGAATACACCGAAGAGAATGAGCTGAAGCTCTGGATCGTCTGTGAGTCCATAGAGGATGAATCCAGACACCACCGAGTAGTTGCCCCAAGCCATGGGAGAGGTAGAACTTCCTCGGAAATAGTCTTTGAAGAGCACGCTCTGCGTAATGTCGTCCTATGGGTGACAGTCTTGATGCACGATTAGTAACTCACTGGTATCGTGGTGGATTTAAGCAACTTCTTCATGCCGTGTTTGATTTTACAAGTGATTTATCCTAGACAGAAATTCCAAAGCGTGCAATTCTATGTAGGATTTTCTAAAGGTAAGGAGTATTTTAACTTTTGTCTCCTTACAAAAATCTATGGTATCACTTTATAAGAGAAAAAACATACTGAGAACTATTTAAATATAGATTTTAAAAGATTTTTTACCATTACTAGAATATTTTAATCAAAATTATAAATTCTAGGAAATTGGAACTAGCATAAAGAGTAAATTTAAAAACTGACTGTAGAGGAGCTATCGTTAAAGTTATTAAAGTCATAGCTTATTAAGATCTCTATACCATGTATTTCCATGAGTTAGTTATCTTCTTGTTCTTTTGAGTATCTGTGATCTATTTTTCCTGATTTCTTGTAGTGTTCATGAATAAAGTATGGAAAAAAGGCTTCAGTCATTGATAGCTTTTCTTTTTAAAAAATACTGATAGTAGGATTAAACATGCATCACATGAACCAAAACCCACATTCATCCAAACTTCTTGATGCCCCAGTGCAAAGCTGGAGAAAATTTATTTCAGGATGACACTGGAGTAGAACAACCTTGTTCCTAACTTACTGCAGGAAGGAAGCTTTTGGTAGTCACCCCGAGCACAAGCGAGAAACACTCAATGCATGTCATCATGCTGTATAACCTGTGCTGATTTCGCTACCAGGCCTCTCTATTGTCAGTGTGGCCCCCACCGTAATTCCCAGAGCTGGGAGCTGAAGCGGAGTGTTTGTCTCTATTAGTGTTTTGTAGCTAGTGGTATATGCAGTTGAATAACTCACACATCTTCATTCCGTGATCTCGAGGTGTACTTCACTCAAACGATCGTCTTTCAGAGAGGCAACCACTAGGAAGTGGTTGCCTTTCTGAAAGAATCAGCCAGAAATCAAGTCCGACTTGGAAAGGCAATCTATGAGCTAATCTAGAGCACGTTTTTAACTCAGTGACTAGTTCATACATTTGTCAAGTATATATAATGTTCTTACTGCTTGGTTTGCAGCTTACTTTGTAGCAGTCTTTCTGAAATCGCATAACATCCATTTTGTAAGGGCCTTCAGCTACTTCACTAACTTGGAATTTCTAATCCTAATAGCTCCTCATTTCTTTTTTAGTACGTACACTGATGTCCAGTAAATCTTGTCTGTTTTTGGCTGCGACATCACTAGGCTTTCCACCACCTGCAATCCTTCAGTTTTTCTTTCCTTCAATGAACACTGGCTCCTCCTCAAATATCTGCCACTCTACATAGAGTGTTTCTTGCTCAGTGTGAAAGCCTCCTTTTTTTTCTTTCAAATTTAGCAGGAAAGGTAAGGTAGTGCTGATGCCGTTAGCATTGTTACACATTTAATGTTACTTTTTATGATTGTGTGAAACCATCTCCTGGTGTTTTGAGCTTTTTATACACTTACCTGCTTTGTCACCTAATTTCTAAGGCAACTGCAGCTCCACAAAGCTGCCGCTCCCACACAGCATGCACTTCCCCTGTGCCCTCTCAGGTTCTTGAACAGTTGGCACCGGCAATCTCACCACCATTACATATGAGCTTCCCATTCGCGCAGCTTCATCTTGCGATTGTGGTATCTGGAAACTGATCGCATGCTGAGTATCCAGAGTGGAACAGTAACTTATTCGACCTCTGCCTTTTTGATCTATTATGACTCCATAACTTTTCATTTATTTATTTATATTTAATTTTTAAAGTTCTCTATCAAGTTTTTTACTTAAATCGAATATCTCCTGTATTCAATTCTTGTCATACACATCTTACAAATAACTACATGTTCCCACACACAAAATCTTATGCTCTAGTTCTTCCAGGATATAGCAAATTAGAAGTATTTTTGAAGTATTCTTCTTGCATTTGTATCTGAGCTACCAAGAATACCATGTAGAAAACTGAGCTAAGAGAAGTTCATCACTTTGAAAATCAAGTAGTCATTTACTTGGCTTGCTTCATCCTGACCCTAGCATCTGGCCTCTGGTTTCTGAACTCAGGATTTCCTTCTTATCTTCCAACGCCATCCTTGCCTTGCCATTTACACACACCAAGTAGCAGTTACTGTGTCCCACATTAGAGGGAAGCAAAAGTTTTAAACTTCTCTCATGAGGTGCAGAAATACACTATCTTCCATAGAAATCCTTCCCATATTGGGAAAAAGTAAACAAAAATGGTGTCTTATTTTCTACCCATGAGTATACATTTGTCCTGTATCTCTTATATTATTTAACGCAATCTGTCCCGTCAACCTGAAACAAGAGGATATCTATTAAGACTTACTTACCAGTGACTTCTGCTCCATGGCCATTCTCTCCCACCTCTCATCCCTCAATCCCTTAGTACCAGAAATCAGGGGTGAGTCGCCAAAGCTCGCCATGTCTTGCACAGTTAGCGCTTAACCTACTGCATTCTGACATTTGTTCTCACCAGTGGCTCTCTTCTCCTTCCTGTCCAATCCAATAGGCATTTGTTTTTTGAGTTTTCTGACTCACTCCACATTGCGTGCCATCCTGGACTATTACTTTCTTACTTTGTAAGTTACTAAAATGTCTGGGTCTTCCCATTTTTCTGACCACTTAGGTTTTCCTAAAGGACTTTTTCCCCCTTTGTTTCTATTTGAAATAACATTTTTCTAAGACTGTTTATGCCAGCTCATGTCATCTTTTTTCTTTCTTTTTTTTCAGTTCAGGTCATTTTGCCCATCTTTGTTGGGAGCTGTCATCTAAGAAACAGGGAGATGTGAAAATGTAGCACAATAAATTGAATTGCTCTTCTGAAGAGGAAAAGAAAACATAACTCATCTTTCCTAAGCATCAGCAGATGTATATTCCACAAGTACCTATGTTTATCTTATGCTACAGATAATTTGTATGTTCAAAATATACCACATTGCAGGCATATGCAACAGAGGACATGCAAACACACACACACACAAACACACACACACACATGCAAACACACACACACACAAACACACACACACACACACACACACGCACACACCCCTCAATAAATGGTACCAGCCTTCATCATTATCCACATGAGAACAAATAGAGTATTTCATATATGCTAGCTTTCAGCATGAACAATAATCAAACATTGATAATTATTTAATCTACTTCTCCAATATGTCTTTGCCTTACACCTTCGATGTTTTATGTATTTAGGGCCCAAATCCAAGTTCTAGATGAACGTCTTCTCATCGCTATGTCACCTTCCAGTTTCACTCCCCTCACTATGCGTAAAGTGCTTTTAGCAATCTTCCACTATGCAAATTGTAGCTTTTTGATTTGTATCAAGCTTGGAATTGAGTTCTAAATTTGGAATATGATAAATTGAAGTTATGACAATAATCCCAGTGTAACTCTATCTCTTGCAAGTTTAACGTAATAAATATGCGTATCTAGAAGATTCAGAAATTAACACTTTAAACATATTATTAACATAATTAAAAATAAATATGAGAATTGTATATTCCAAATCCTTAAGCTTCAATTACCTTGATTTTTTAACTGTATTACACACTACTTTTAAATAATTGAATAGAAAAATTCAAGAAGTCTAAAATACCTTGAGGCAAACCATAAAAATCAACAGTCACAATGTAATGCTTTATTACTTAGGTATTCTGAGCTTCTTTTGTGTGATTTTTGGTCTCTCTGGAATATTTTTGTGAATTACATCATTTTGAGAACTGCTGACCTAAAAATACAGCAACAGTCTTACACACACAAGCAATTGTGCTGTGATTGATCCTTTGGGACCCAATTTTCTAGACAGACAGAAAACACACTTGACTGGAGACTGCTATACTTGAGCCCATGTATAGCAAAGAACTAGACAGCCAGAGTGACAATTTGAGAAATAAGACACATGATCTTTTTTAGTTTTATTTGCTTCTTATATATTAAAGTTGTACATTTTTAAGGAGATCAGAGTATTAATTGGGTCAAAGTAAATTAACTCACTAGTTGGCTTTGCAAGTATAGCCAGATGATTTTCACTAAGTACCCAACTCTATATTTGATATTTCAGTCCTCTGTATGATTACTTAGGATATACCTGAAGGATTTAAATTAGCATACAGGCATATCCACATTGCCATGCTTATTGCTGTGCAAAATAGAATAGGCAGGAGATGGTAGGTGTCTATGAGTAGAAGAGAAGAGACACACCCTGGAGTATAAATAAGTTAAAAAAGAACAAGATTTCCTTATTTACAGAAAAAAATGAAGGAACTAGATCTTTTCTTTCTTTCTTTCTTTCTTTCTTTCTTTCTTTCTTTTTTTCTTTCTTTCTTTCTTTCTTTCTTTCTTTTTTTCCTGCAGAACCAGGGATTGAACTCAGGCTCTTGTGCTTGCCAGGGAAGCACTGATTCTACTGAGCCATCTCTTTCTTTCTTTCTTTCTTTTTTTCCTGCAGAACCAGGGATTGAACTCAGGCTCTTGTGCTTGCCAGGGAAGCACTGATTCTACTGAGCCATCTCCCTGGCCCCTGATATTTTCATTTTGAGCAAAGCAAGATTGACTTAGAAAAATAGCACATTCACCGTAATATGTAGAATATAAAAAAAGAAAGAAATTAAAAAGGAGACTTCCTAGACAAGCAAATGAGAACAGGGGAAAGCTTGTGTCGTGGGGAGATGGATGTGATCAAAATGCTACAGAGATGTTAGGCCCCCTAAAGTGAAACTTGGGGTCGGGGAAAACTCAGGTGATGGGTGGATGATTAAAGTACTTTACTTACATGTCCTAATCTGCTCAAGGGAAATCCACTAACATGTTGAGCAAATATCTGCTAACAGAAAAGTAAAAAAATAATTCAGGCAGAGTCCATGAGATGCTGTTCAAAGGGGTAGAAGGCTCCCAGGGAACTCGTTCTCTGAGACTCATTTCACAGACCTGAGCCACCAGGGCACTCACAGGCAGCTACAGCTATAATTTGGGGATCCTAGCTATTGCTCCATTAATGCCAGACCTTGGTGTCACCCACTTGATGCCCAGTTTGGTTTTTTTTGGGGGGGCAGAACCGAGGATTGAACTCAGGCCCTTGCACTTGCCAGGGAAGCGCTCATTCCACTGAGCCATCTCCCCGGCCCTTTAATGCCCATTTTAATGTCATGCAGAATTTCAGAACTGTGGGTCAACAGTGCTCCCACTCAATTTCAAAGCCTGTGAGATCAGGCAGAGATTCCACAACAGAACAGTGTTTGATCATGTGGAAGCAAAGCCAGTAGTTCAGTGTTTACGGCAATAACACCAAAGACCCAGCCAATCAAGCAGCATGGAGCTTTTTATTTGGATGTGCGACAACTTCTTTCTTTCCCTGCTATTACATTCAGGCTAGCAGCTTATTGGTAGGTGCCGCTTATAAATGAGGTGGGTTTTCCCCTTACTTTGCTGGTCTCCATACCAACTATGTATAGACACACCCAGAAGTGGGCTTTACCAATTGGCCAAGTGTTTCTTAATCTGTATAATTTTTTGTATCACAAACCAAGAAATGTAATTTCTTGTATTACAATTTCCAAATATCTTTTTATTGTCACATTTTTAAAGACAAACACTGAAAAATAACTGAATGAGAGATCTAAGAATAGGGAATTATTTAATATTTGCTACTTGGTGGCCAAATTAATATTATTGAAATCAATGGTAGATAATAATCCTTGAATTTTAGTTAATAAAAGAACTTTTAGGGCCTGAAAAATAGCTCAATGGATTAAAGGGCCTGCAGCAGGCACAGGGGGTGGGATTTCTTCCCCTGGTGTACTGTGCTGGCCCTGCACCCAGGGCATGCTGAGGCAGCAACTGAGACTGGGTGTGGTGGCGCGTGCCTGCAATCCCAGCTCTTGGGAGGCTGAACACAGGTGGGTCACTGCGAGCCCAGTCTATGTGGTGAGACCTGGTAGACCCTGTAGACCTTTACTAAAATACAATAAATAAATAAATAAGTAAATAAATAGGAATATGTGTTGATGAAGAGCAGAACACTGATAATAAAAGAAATGATCACGGCATTGTTTTCATGAAAAATGCAGACTTTCTGAAATGGCATGCGTAAGCCTAAAATTCTCAGGTTAAAGGGGAGCATCAACACACAAACACAAAGAAATTACAGCGAATAGGCCTAGAAGATCACCATGAAATAACTAGTTTTCCGCTGTCATTTGGATGGTTTTCAAACGTAGACTGTCATGTTGCCAAGTATTTCACAAATGGCCACTATCCAATTCCCTAAAACTATATAAAGGGACCCCAGAAAACTAAAAATACAAGTAAGTGCTACAGGTGCCATACTTTAGTATGTGCGGGAAGCTACACAACATTCTTTACATTTACAATCATTAACCGCAAGATGAACAAAGGAGAACCAACTGTCACTGCCTTCTGCAGATGCGGAAACTGAGGCACGGAAACTTGACATGACGTGACATGGTAGGAACTGCACATTGCAAGCCTCCTTGCGAAATTTTGAAGCTCTGAATCCTAAATGAACACCGCTAGGAGCAGACAGCAAAGAACAGTGAGAAAGGGTTTCAGTCAGCGGAGTGTGTACAAAACCCACCACTATACACATCGGGTGAAGGCAAGAATGGAGAAATGGGGGAAACTAAACGCAGTAAATAATTGGCACAAAAATAGGACATTTTTTCCAGATTTATAGATGGTAAACTTGGGATCTGAATCAGCAGATGTTGAGTTATTTAATATAGCCCATACTATTGTCAACTGATTTTTTTTTTTATTTTTCAAGAGAATAAAATATAGCAATAAAAACGTTAGAAATGATACAGAATTTCACTAAACAAAGTGATAGGAATTAAAAAACAGTTGAGACATTGCATAGTGTTGTCTTCAAATTAGTTGCTCAGATTATTAGATATATAAGCATGAAACATTGATGAAAAAATTACAAAGAAAATAAATTTAAGCATTAACTATTCCTTTCAATAGGCCATATTTCTTTATATCAAATACAATTCAGATATACCATGTATTTCTCAATATATTACTCAATGGTTGATGTTCTGTGTTAAGTAGGATTATGATCATCTGGTCTTTTTCATTCCATTCTTTTTCAAGTTCAATAGCTCTGTACTTATAATATGAGTTTCACCTAGTACTGTGTCCCTGGAACTATGTGGATGACACCGATCGAATGGATGTGACCACAGTGGGTGGAGATCGTGGCTCTGTCACTTACAGCATTGAGACTGCAGGTAATCACAACTCAATGACCTTGACCCTTGCTCAGTGGCCTGGACATTATTTGATAGCCAAGCACAATTTTTCAATGATTTTCTTCAGGGCATTTTTTACTTCCTGGTTCCTCAAGCTGTAGATCACTGGGTTTAACATGGGAATCACTACAACATAAAACACCGAAGCAAATTTATCTCTGTTCAGAGAATGGCTTGACTTAGGCTGCAGGTACATAAAAATAACGGTCACATAAAATATTGTGATGGATGTCAGGTGAGACACACAGGTAGAAAACGCTTTCTGTCTTCCCTCAGCAGAATGAATCCTCAGGATGGCAAAGAGGATGAAGGCGTAGGAGATGACCACGATCGCCAGAGAGAAGAGGAAGTTGAACCCTGCAATGATGAGCAGCATCAGCTCTTTGACATGAGTGTCAGAACAAGCCAGAGCAATGAGTGGAACATCATCACAGTAGAAGTGGTTGACCACTCTGGAGCCACAAAATGACAAGCGAAATGTGGCCACAGTCTGAATGAAACCCACAGTGAACCCATAGATGTACGTGCCCGCAATCATTTGAACACACAGCTTCCTAGGCATGAGGATGACATACAGGAGCGGGTTGCAGATGGCAACGTAGCGGTCATAGGCCATGATCGAAAGCACAAATACTTCACACACCACAAATGTGATGAAGCAGCACACCTGAGTCGCACAGGCAAAAAAATTTATACTTTTCACATCACGCCAAAAATTCAGGAGCGTGTTTGGGGTGACAGCGGAGGTAAAGCAAAAGTCAATAAAAGCCAGATGGCTGAGGAAGAAGTACATGGGGGTGTGCAGCTGGGGACTGACTTGGATTAGAGCAATCAAGCCCAGATTAGTCGTGATGCTGACTAAGTAGACAACTAGGAATACACCGAAGAGAATGGCCTGAAGCTCTGGACTATCTGTGAGTCCCAGGAGGATGAATTCAGACACTGCTGAGTGGTTGCTCTCAGCCATAGTAAAGGTTTAAAATGTTTTGGGTAATAAAATCTTTCCCTGCCTTCATGCTGGGAAAGTGTTTGTGCTTGCAGCAATTGAGGTGTGGCAAGTGGATGACCTGGTGTCTGTATCTTGCGCTGTACCCTTTCACAGTAATGACTTTGTATTCTTCCTGATCTCTGAAGCAGGTGACTTGTTGGAGACAGAGTTCCAAAGCTCGACAATCTGTAGAGATTTGCAAAGAGAGGAAATTTTCTTTGAGATTTTTGCCTTATTAATGATATGATCTACACTATAAAATCCACTCAGAAATGTTTAATTAGCAGAAATAATAAATTCAAATGTTCACTCCTAAAAGGGTTACTATGAAAGGTCACAAACAAAATTTTGGATATTGAAGACCTTGTTACCACATACTCGTGATAAATTTTAATCGCTACCTTTTTTTTTTTTTACATTGGTATTGTAGTTGGTCTTATACAGAAAAATAAGAAAAGCAACCAAGTAACATGATGGATAAGCCATTTTGAAATCTGTATAGAAGCATATAATACACATTAAGTGAAGCAAAAACATATTTGTCACACATCTTTACATACCTGAAAGAAAAACAGGAAAAGAAATTATTCCAGGATGCTTTCACAGAAACATGGCCCAGTTCCTAAATAACTAAACAGTGAAAGCTTTTGTTTACTGAAAGTGAGTATCAGAATGTATTTCCAATGTATTATCTCATGCAATCTCTGCATCAAATCTTTGAATTGACAGTATGGCCATTATCTTCATTCTCAGTTGTGGAAACTAAGGCTGAGGGTTTATCCCACTTTTGTGTTTCGTAACTACCAAAGTGTAAAGCACAGTAAGTGATACGTGTTGGTTGCCTAGCTACAATTCATTGTTTATGCAAATGATCTTTTTACAGAGGCAGAAATTTTTCTACCAACTAGATATCAAGGTAAATGAGAAAAATAATCAAAGAGTTAGTCCATAGTAAGTGATTAGAACAATGTTCCATGCTGTGTGCCTGATGAATCAGTTGGAGCTCGTGGACATAGTACTACTGGTCAGATCGAAGCTTACTCTGCAGAAGCCTGTCTGCAATCTTACCATGAGGTTAAACAGAGAAGCTTAATTTTTTTTTGCAAATTTTGAAATGGTGTCCATTTGCCTCACTAATTGCTTATCTCTTTCCTTGTTGGTCCTCAGTCTTATTCCTTTTAGCATTTATATTGATGTTCTGTGAAATGTGAGTGCTCAGACTCTTGAAAACTTGGAATTGACAACCACACTATAATTTCAACTGGATTTACCTCAGCATGTCTCCATCCTCAGCATTATTTTATCTAAAAATTGATTGAATGCTAGACATGCAAAATGGAAACAATTCCTTATGACCATATATTATATATACAGTAT